AGGGAGTGGGAAATTAAAAAAAATAAAATTGGAAGGGTGGGGGGGGGCGCGCGCGAGAGAGGAGTCACACGGCCCAGATCAGAAGAAGTGGTAATTTATTTCCTGGCCGCACACTGGGCACCTTTGAGGTGGTGTTGTCTGACACTGCCCTAGATCCCCCTCGTTTTTCTCCACCCCTCCTCCCCATCTCTTTGTAGAGAAAATGAAGAAAGCTGCTGCAGGCTAGTAGCAGAACACTGCTGAGTTTGGCTGCCTGAAGCTGGTCTATCAAGGGAAAAGGGAACATCTCCAAATCAAGTATGGAATATAAAAAGGCACGGAGAACGCCTGCCAAAAGCAGCAAACAGAGAGAACCCCCACCGCCAGGCTCTCGGTCCTCCTCCTGTCATCTCTGCCCCCACCCCCAGCCCCTTGGTGCTTCTGCCTTCTTCTCTCTCATTTCCCTCCTGCTTTGGCCCTTTTCTTTGGGGTCGGGGTTGGGGGGGGCTGGGGGGCACAGCCGAAAGCCAACCTGCAGAGGCCAGCATCTCCCCCAGCAGAGGAGCTGGGCCTCGCCACGGCAACCGCTGAGCTGCAGAACCAAGCGAGGGGAGAGAGGCCCATCTGTAGGAGCCTGCCGCTCTCGCACAGGCTGGCTCCATGCAGCCCCCGATCAAAGCGCTGCCTCGTGGAGAAAGTCGATTTGCACACCCCAGGACGAAATCATCTAATTTACAAGCCTGGGCTACAGAACTTTTCTTAAACACACCTACCTCCCCCCTCCACACCAAGTCAAAAAATGATATAGCACCAATGTTGTTGGTGGGGGAGCACTGGGGTTTACTGAGAGGGATGCTGGAAGACCCCAGAAAAGCGATGTTAATATGCTAATTTGACAAATTCAAGTCTGCCCTGGACCATTCAAGGAGCTTCTGGAGAGAAGCTGCTCCAACAACAGTCCACACACTAATGCAACATGGGATTAGCAATTCGACGAGCTAATTTTCTAAATGCAACATAACCGATGAACCCCAGTTGGGTTCTCTGAAGCTCGCAGGAAGGATTCATAAATAGAGGTGTGCTCTAAGCTGGGCACTGTCCTCCCCTCCCTAAGGAACAGCTAGCTTCCTTGCAACCTGGATCTCAGGGTATCGCAAGAGGCCTGGCTCCTGAAATGTAGACAGGGAGGCTCTCTTAGGTACAGGGCGCCACAGGCTGGCTGCTCTCCAGGACTTGGAAATAGAAGGGGAGGTCCCAGAAAAGCCCTTCACACCATGCTGGCCTCTCATCTCAATCACAGGAAGAATCTGCTCCTGGGATCCTCACTTCCAAATACTTCATTCATTCAGCACTTACTGGGTGCAGATTCAACAGCAGGTCCTAAGCAAAGTCCTGGGGTTGGATACAGACAAGAGGGAGCAGCTGACCTCCAGGGCTTCAGAAGTCAGCAGGGGAAATGGCCAAGTACAAAGAGAAACAGATGACTGAAGTGACCCAGCCACACAGTCAACACGAGGAGAGTGTCCCTGGGATGTACTTTTCCTCCCATGGGAGGCAGATTCCTCTGGCCTCCTCATTCCTTCATCCCATCAGCAAGTGTTTACTGAGCACCTATGATGTGCCAGGCACTGTTCTGGGCTCTGTGGAAATGGCAGTTAACACAATAGACCATTCTAGTGGGAACCCAACCCAAAGCATGGGTTATCTCCTACCCTTCACCCTTTTTTGATTTCTGGAAAGGAACTGCATGGTTTCTTTCTCATACAAAACTTTCTGTTTTGAATTGAGAAAATACAAAAGGTCAAGTAGGTCACCTTGAGCTTCCCTTGGCCAGCTTGTTACATCCCAATGAACCTCGTAACACCTCTTGCGTGGTCCTTCCCTTCCCTCCCTTTCCCCCAGCGGATCCCAGGCACTGCTCCTCCTGCCTTCCCTATACCCCCCTACTCTGCCTGCCAGCCCTTTTCTTCCAGACTTAACATGGCGGGCAACAGCTCCCTCCCCCATCCAGACTCCACTCACCGGGAAATGAGGTAGAGACACTTGGCCATTGGCCTTCACGCTGCGATGCATTTCTCTCTGGAGCTGTTTCTTACTCCCCACACGATAAGGCGGGATTCCATCTCTAAGGGAAGGAAAAGACAGAACCCACAGGTTCATGAGGATGCTTTAGCACATGGACTGACTCACACGAGCCATCGTGAGATCCCGCCAAAGGACAGGGCCACATGCCTCCATGGGAGTGCAACCCATCTCCGGGCACTGTGGCTGTTCCCACAGGGAAAGAGCAATCCGAGATCCAATTGCCAAACGTTCTGCCCATCAATCCTCCCTGGAAACTTGGCTTCTTGTCAGACGCAAGAAACCTGGAAAGAGCTCATGTCTCAGCTGTTGTCTTAGAACTGGGTACACTGCAGAATGAAGGCTCCCTTATTTTACAGGTGCGCTAAGCAGGGGAGTGTTAAGACCCCCTGGATTCTTCTAAGAGTCTGTCAGCACCAACTATTACCCCAAATCCGGAAGTCACAGCCTTACGGAGTATACCAGGGCAGAGTGCCCCAAGTATAGGGATCTGACCCACAGATGACTAAGCCAGGCTTTGGTTGGAGGTATGTGTAATTCTCCAACAGTCAACCTCCCAGCTGTTTCCAAATGTCTTCCTTTCATCAATCATCTCTGGGCTCCTTCCTTCCCTCAGCTCCAAACCCTACCACCACCCCCAACCAACAGATTCTCGGCCACATGACCAAGGCGGGCACAAAGAGCAAGTCCCTACTCTGACGTATTCTGTGCAATTCATCCAGATGTTTGAGTACCTACTGTGTGCCAGATCTTGTTCTAGGCAACAGGCAAGAGAGCAGTGAAGGAAGGGAATAAAAATGCAGGTCACTGTCCATAGGAAGCTTATGTTCTAATGGAGTGTTACAGGCAGGAAGCAAGAATAAAAATGCAAATCTATTGTATGTAGAAGGTGGTAAGTACTAAGATGAAATGCACTGCAGGTAAGGGGGGGAGAGGGCAGTGGGGGGAGGGCAGAGCTGCAATTTTAAAGTGTGGGCGGGGAGGCAGGGCGAGTTGTCAATGAAGTTCTCACCGTGAAGGTGACTTCTAGGCAGAGACCTGAAGGCAGTAGGGGTCCTTAAGTTTTTAAATTTTTGTTTGTTTTTTTAAAAAAATTTTTATTTAGTGTAGTTGATTTATGACGTTAGTTTCAGATGTACAGCAAAATGATTCAGTTATACACATATATACATGTTTGTTCTTTTCAGATTCTTTTGCATTATATGTTATTACAAGAAACTTAATAAAGTTCCCTGTGCTATACGGTAGATCCTTGTTGTTTATCTATTTAATATACAGTAATGTGTGTCTGTTAATCCCCAACCCCTAATTTATCCCTCCCTGCCCTTTCCCCTTTGATAACCAGTTTGTTTTCTATGCCTGTGAGTCCGTTTTCAGCTTATAAATAGAATTTGTATTATTTTTTTTAGATTCCACATGTAAGTAATATCATGTATTTGTCTTTCTCTGTCTGACTTACTTTACTCAATATGATAATTTCTAGGTCCATCCATGTTGCTGCAAATGGCATTATTTCATTCTTTTTTGTGGCTGAGTAATATTCCATTGTCTTAAGTACTTTATCATTATATTTTTAAAAAAGCAAATGGAAAAGATTTGAAAACAAACAAAAACAACTCCACCCCAGCTAGTCTTCACTAAAAACACGACCCGGAGTTGCCATGGTTTTTTTTTAAAAAAGACTTTTGTTCTGGAAAGCAGTCAATGGTCAAGGTGTGATTATTTTCCCATTGCTGTTCCTTCTGGAAGCCACTTATTTATAAAAGCCTCAGGGCTCAGACATTTCCATACTGAATCATCCTTTGAGGCTGTAAATATTGAAATTAGCTGTTTGGCTATTTCCCTTTCCCTGGAGTTTTGCTCACGGTCAGATGGGAGGAAGGAGAATACTTCTGGCAGTGCGTGAAAATCAGCCATGCCTGAAAATACCCAGAAGCAGCCTGGGTTAACTGGTTGACCTCCAGCTCCTTATCTGTAAGGCCCTAGAATTCAAAGTGGCTGCAGTTTCCGGAAGTCTGCTGCCCTGGGCTGGAGAACGGGGCCGCCTCAGGGATGATGATGATGCAGATTATGGTAGGTGAGGAACTGACCTGTTGGCCAAACTCTGGCTAAGAAGCACATAAAGACTAATTCTATGGAGGGTTTAGGGGAGAAGACAGATCAACATGAAGCAAGGACTTACATGGAAGTGTTGAGTCCTGTCCCAAAGAAAGGTGGATGGTGCACTCTGGAAATGGTTAGCTGGTTGACCAATGAGCTCCAGTCTCCCAGAGAGCCTCCTACTCACTAAGGCCTGGAACTTGACTGGACCCATGAAGGCCAAGTAGTATAAAAGGTTCTAAGTCCAGAAACTTGCTGAACCACCTGGAGCTTATTTACCAAAAATTTTCACCCCAGGATCATTTACAAGACACAGGAGGAAGGCAGGCTTCCTCGAGCATGCCTGGCTTGACCAGTAATCAAATGCCATGCCAGGTGACTCCAATCCAAGGCTGCCAGCCCCGCCATATACTGAGTTCCTACTGCGGGTCAGACACATTTGATGGATAATCCAACTTCATTCTCACAAATGCTCTAATTCACCACATTTCACATGTGACCGGAAATGGTCCACAGCTCTCCTGGAGTCATAGTCAGGAGGTAGATCCAGGCTTCTCCTCCAAGCCGCTGGTGGACTCCAGAACAGGGGTCCTTAACAACCTACAGTTCCAGGTCCAACTGGAGAAGCCAAGCTTCCTGACTGTCTGAATGTAGGGGGGATGGGAGCACCATTTCCTAAGCCCCACGGAGTCACCTGACATTCTGCAGGGGTGAGTGGGAATTTGGGGAACATGCTGGCAAGTCATCCCCCACCACTAAGTACTTGCTGGCTATGGGGCATGCCGGTGGTTCCCAAGGTACAGTGACCATCTCCCTGCCTCGCACCTAAAATTGTGGGGTTGGGGTGACGTGAGGTGACAGGGATTGGGTCTCATGCTAATCTCACCAACTTCTGCTGCCTCAGGGCTGCAAGACAATGCCCATGTCCTTCTCCTGACCAGCAGCTCTTCCCGGGACTGACAGGATGGCTCTGTTCCAGGCCTCTTCTGGACAATCTTGGGGTGTGTGAGTCAAGCGCCCCATGGACACCACTGTAACACATGCAGGGCTCCAGGAGTCCCATAGGGACCCCATCCATCCCCTCCAAGACTCTGTCCTTGAGTGTCCCCTAGCAGCTTTGTTCGTTTCCCTTTCCTCCCAGGTGAAATGAGTCGTAAGGCTTTTAGACTTTTTCTTCTCCCATATAAAGCAGGAGTAAGAAAAGGGAACTGGGGGACGCAGGGCTGAAAGGAAGGGTAGGGGAAGCAGGTGACTGGCCATCTGAAGGCCAGGGGAGCCAGTGATTTTTCTAAACGCTTCCCCAACCAACACACCCGCCCTTCTACACCCAGGGCAGGTGAAGGATCCAACTGCAGGAAAGGACACTTGTGAGCAGAGCAGAAGAGGGAGATTCCAACTTGCAGAGGCTCAAAGGGGCTTAACAGGCGCCTTCAAGGAAGTGTGGCTTTCATTCTCCCCCTAGCCAAGAATCTTCTTCCAAAACAGCCCCTCATTCCAAGGGAAGGGGCTCTCTCCTTCTTTTCCCGGCTCTGGAAGTCTGCGATCAGTTCCCTGGCTCCTCAGAACTGTGAGCTGAAGTGTGTCCGAGTTTTGGTCCCTATACAGTCTCTTTTAATTATAAACATTTTAGCTAACAAGCCTGCTGCCGGGCCCAGCTGTTTCTGGGCAGCACTGGGTTTGAAGTGTGGACTTCGCTTAGCTGCCATTTAAGCCGAGACAATTAGCTTAGCCTTTTGACTCGGCGGTGCCCGGTGTAACCTGAACGTCGTTTCCCGGCGGCTTGGAAACAGCAGACTCACGCACGCGCACGTGCGTCCGCTTGCAGCTCCATCTGGCGACCACTCCGAAGACCGCCTCTCATCACAGCCAACATCAAAAGCCTGGCTTGTAACAGAAGGCCATATTTGAAGTTCCCTCGGATGCTTCTCCCGAAGTAAACCCATAAATAAGATATAAGGAAATAAAAATAAATACACCTGCACCGCCCTCTGCATATGAGAAAAGTCAGGGAGACGTCCCCATGCTGCCCACGTAGCTTTCGCAATTTCTGGCCACCTGGAACAGAGAAGCCACCACACCTGGGCGGCAAGAACCAGCTGCTTGTGACGTCCCCAGCACCCGGCTTCATCCTCCTATGGCCCCACAATCCTTCTGCAGCGATCCAAGGACTGGGTTTGAGGACTTTGCTGGGAGTCTGGCAGCTAACTTTCAAAAAAAAAAAAATTAAAAAGCCATTTCTTCCGAGAACGTAGGGTTTCAGAGCAACAGGCTCGTAAAAACAAGCCTTCTCAGAGGCCCACTATCAAGACCCAAGTCCCCAGCCATCTTTAACAGGGCTTTTTACTTCGCGGAAAAACAGAAGTCAGCAGTGGGCTTTGGGAGAAGGCAGTGAACACTTTAAAGGCCCTGCCTGCTAGGTCCCTCCAGGCCCCTGTGCGGCTCCCTGCAATAACCAAGGGCAGGGCGGTCCAGCCCAGCTCCTCCCTGGCCTCTTGCAAAGGCTCCCAGGACTTAATTGGGTCTGTCGCAAATGAGACGATTGCTTCCCTGGGCCTGTGTCTAATGAACTCCAACCTTCTGGAGTCTATTGAAGGCCGCCTGTGACCCCCTCTCCCCTTCTCTGCAGCCGCGTCCCCTCCCCGACTCCCAGCAGGGCAGCCAGCCCCGCTCCCAGCCCGGCACAGCCCCTCTCTGGCCATTGTGACAGGGAGAAGCAGCCAGGGCTCTTTTTCATGCTTTATGGGGCGCTCCTATTCACTTGTTCAAGGAAATTTCAAAGGGGCCTGCTACCCTCTTATCCTCTCTAAGCTTCCCGGGATGAACAATGGGCTGAAAGCGATTCAGTTCAGCTTTTCATCCCCCACACACTTTATTTCTTGCCCGGCGCTCTCATCTGCGCCAGGCCCACATTTGGCAGAGCTCTGAAGAGGGGGTCTAATCCCAGCCCTGGGAATCCCGGGTGACCCGCCCGACACTGGGCAGATCACACACACCCAGGGCCAGCCGGCCAGAAAGTGCCTCGCACGGCCCGGGCCTTCAGTGCCTGCCAAGCCGGCCGGGCAGGGGAGCAGGCAGGGCCAGGGACCCACAGGGATCTCTGAGCTCAAACCCGCACCCCATCTGATGGGCTCTTGTCCTGAGACCCCTTTGTCCCCCACCAGAGGCAGCATGAGGCAACAGCCCCAGACAAATGCCTCCTGAGAGGGGGACAGCCCCCTGCTGATGGGAAATGTGCTCCCAGTTGGTATCAGCATGCCCATGTGAGCAGAGCTGTGATGGCGGCATCTGATAACCTCCCCACTAGGCTGGCAGAGGACTAAGAGCCCCCCCCGCAGCGCTGACACCAGGAAGATCAGCTCCAACACTGAGGGCCCCCAGGTACCTCCCCCTTGGCACTGGCATCCTGGTTTACTCATCTCTGATCCAGGGCAGCTACACCAAGGGAGGGGCTGACCATGCCCTGAGGTTCTGCCACTTGGGACCTGCGGGCATCTACTGTCCCCCAAAGAGAAAGCTGCTAAAGGAGGGATTTGCCCTTTGTCTCTGTTATCAAAAAGGATCTCACTGGCTCACACTCTCACCCCCGCTACCCAGGACCGCTGACTCGCGAAGGTAACTTCTCTGAGCCCTGAAAGTGGCTTCCTCCTTGCTTTACGTGCTGTAAGTCCACTAGTGCTTTAGCTCAAAACCGGAAGGGAAGGGCAAGAGCTTAAAATCACCTCTCAGTAAAACTGAGGATGTTTTTCTTCTGGGAAGGGGATAAAAGAAGAGGTGTGAAGGCAGAGGGTGCAGGGAAGAAGTTAGAACTTGCTCCCTCTTCCCCCTCCCCCAGCCAGTTAAAAAAAAAAGAAAAAGCAGTGTGATCACTAACAAAAATAAAAGAAACTCAAAGTGGCTCAAAGGTCTCATTATCAACTGGTCCTATTAACATAAGTCATGTTGGAAAGTTTCACGCTTGCAGGGAGGGGAGGAACAGGCAAAGGGCAGGGGCCGACGTCTGGCCTGGATCTGAGCTGTGCTTCTGACACGAGCAGTTATGGGAGCACTGGGCACTTCTTCCTCATCTGCAGAAGTCACAAGTGACTGCCAACCTTCCTGATTGGGTCCTGTGAGGCTCAGATGTGTATGGGGACTACACTCAAGTTATCCCATCATGAACCCAGAATAACACCTCCATGATGTGGGCCAGGAAGCAAACCAAAAATAATCTCCAAGAAAACTAAACAGAAGCCTCAGCGTCTTAAGTAAACTACATTTGACTAAGGAGATTTCACTCAATGCCCTCATTCACATCCAGTTTACTCTTATTTTACACATAACGCTGACTCCCACAAATCCACAAATAAGTTAAAAGCTAAAGGGAAAACTGCTGCTAGAAAGAAACCCGCAGTGGCAAAAATTGACAGCAGACAGAATGACAAAGCAAAAAAAAGAAAAAGTATTAAAAAAGAAAAAGTGGGGAGGAGGCACCCAAATCTCCAGGGGCAGAAAGCACAATATATTCTTGTATTCTGAGAGAATATTACAATGTAGTAAGAAAACAGATCTTGGGATTAATTATTTGGATCAAGAAAGAAATTACGCCTTGTCTTAACACTCTTCAATAAAGACAGAACAAAAACATATTTTAAGAAATATGTCCATCAGAGGATAATATTTTTCAAGTTACGATACTTAAAGAGTTCAGTCGATACGGAAAACTTACCTCTATGGAAACCCTCATTTCTTCATGTCGGAGGAAAGATGGGTCCCCTCCCTTCACTTCCACTCACGCCATGGTGCTATTCTTTTATTAACATGGAACTTTTCACCTTAAGGATCTCTCTCCTTTTACTAACAGGGGAATCTGAGGTAACACAATAAAAGCCACCAGGAAAATCAATAGTAGAGGCCCAAACCAACCTCATCATCTTTCCTTCCAGCTGGTTCCATGCCGCAGGCCAAGCAATAGATCGTTGGCCAACAGAAACCAGATCATTTCAAACAAACTGGAAGAAGAGACAGTCCAGTTTTGGGAAGCTGAAAAGAACAAACTTGAAGTAAGTACGCCAGGACTTACAACAGCTCAATGGGCTTGCCTTTCAAAACTGTTCCCTTAGCAGAAGATCCTACTCCAAAATATTTGGAGGAAAGCCTTCAAAGACCAGCTCTAGAACAGTGGTTCTCAACGGGGTATCGAGAGACTCGCTCTTGGGGAGTTTTGCCCAAGCCCAGACTCCACCTCCTTCCAGCCTCCTGAATCAGAGTCTCCAAGGTTGGCGCGAGATGGGGATGCCCTTCCACCACCCCAGTCCAATCCCCACCCACCTGAGACTCACAGAGAATCACTGTTCTCCATCCACAGAGGTCACGACTGCATGACCTCAGATGACCTCAAACTCGAAGCATGACCCTGCCCGATGACCTGCTGGCCTCATCAGACCACCCTGATGGCTTGGATTGCTTTCAGAAATCCCAGCCATCCATCTGCAAAAGAGCCAAGATCAGATACTACTTTGGACAGAACCCCCACTTAGGGGCAGAACCCCCAGCTGACAGAGGAGGCGGCCCACCAACACTCACTGAATTAACGACGCCCACTGGAGCACCCCTGTGCGGAAGCATTACACACAGAGTGGCCCTGCAGGGAGCTCTGGCTTTCTGACTCCCCCGTTCAATGTCTTTTCCTTGAAAAGCAATCAACACCTAAACACAAACCCTTCCAATGCCACCCTGTCTCCCACCTGCTGGTTCTGCAGACGGGCTACCTGGGTTTCAAGACCAGCCAAGCACGCCCGCCCACAGGGAAGGCAGGCAAAATAAGAACCAGAAGATGGGCTTTTAAACTCATGGAATCTACAGATACTCACCTTAACTTTCTACCTTTGCTTACCTTTTCTTCTGTTTAAAGTATCATTCAACTTCCTTTTCCAGGCTCTAAGCTTAACACTACCCAGGTACCATGTGACCCTCCTAAACCAGCAGCCCCCATGTGCACACTCCCTTCCCATCAGACAACTGTTCAGCAGACACAGATGGGGTGGGCAGAGCCAGGTGAGGATGGCTGACGGCTCTGCCCAGCTGGCCTGGCGGGGCCACACTGCCAACCGCGTGCATGGTGGGGAAACCAGAATATGCTTACACGCTACTATCCGTCATGGACATGGAATCATCGGTCAGTGCGTCACTGGATATCTCGCTGTCATTGGCGCTGGTGGCCGGCGCGAAGACATAGCCGGAACCTACATGGTATGGGTTCACAGGGTCGCTCCTCCTGAAGGACCTGTGGGAAAAGCACAGTGGCAATGCGTCCCTGACTCTCACCAAAAACCTGGGTCTCCAGTGACCCCAGGCCAATCCTGCAGTCCGTCCAAGGCCAACCTGCTGTCCAGGGCCAGGAGCTCATCCGGGAAGAAAGCATGCTGGATTTCTCTGCCCCCAAAGGCAGGTCTGTCAGGGGCCACAGGACCCCTGAGGCAGCCCAGGGGATCTTACCAAGTTCTGAATAGACACTTGCAGAGAGGAAGGAAGAGGACTCTGCTCTAGGAGGGGAGGCGATGGAACGAGCAAGGGGAAGAAGTCAGTGGTGGTGGGGTGCCCTCCCCATCTCTGGCCCCACACCCAAGCCTGTACCAGAAGAATACAATTTGGGGGCCCCAAGACATCTAAACCTCCAAACTCCCAGCCTGGCGTCTGCCAGCACAGTTTTGAGATGCAGGCAGAGCTGGAGGCTGGGCATACCCTTCTCGTGCCAACGCTGGGCCCAGTGAGCTGACCGAGGGGACAGAGAGGCTCAGGACAGTGTTTAGGACTTCCATCCCACCCTGAGCCGGGCCTCTGCCGTGGCCTCCCCAGCCAGCCCCCCTGCCCCCGGGGGCTGACTGAGGCCCGCAGGATTAAAATGAGCAGCTCAGCTGTTTCGAAGCGAAGCCCGGACCCTCCTCTGGTGTCTCCCGCCCTTTTGTTTCAGTGGCCTCTGCCTCCCCATTTTGCCCTCTTGATCTCCTCCCAGAACAACCAGTGTGCCCTGTCCCCTGCTGGGCTGCGTTCCTCTGGGGTCACCAGCCAGGGGCCGAAGCTGGGGAAGGAAGGAAGAAGGAACCTCTGTGGCCGGCGGGCTGCAGGTGTGGGAGGCTGCCCTTACAAAGACCCTGGCACACTCCGCCAGGCCCACCAAGTCCAAGCCAACAGCAACGGAACCAGTCCCAGGAGAAGGCAAAGGCCCACAAAAGAGAACTTTCTCCATCAGGCCCCTGCCGCCGGTCCATAAAGGTGGCCCTGGGGTTGGCAGGGGAAAGGGACCCACCGAAGGTCAAAGCAGCCTTCTCTGCCCGTGTTCTCCAAGCTCCAATTCGCTTACTCTGTGTCCAACACCACACTGGTCTCCCAGGGGACCCAGCCCCGGTCTCTGGTCTCCTGACACCCAGGGCCTGGTAGGTGTGTCCCCATAATGAGGGGGGAGGGAGGTGCCCCAAGGGAGGCAGACAATTACCACAGGCCCCGGAGAGGGGCGCACCTTTACACAGACCATCTCGCTTAGTCCCCACAGCCACATGGTGGGGAGGGGGCTCTGGGCCCGTCTTGCAGCTGTGTTCCCGGGGGGTCCTACCAGCAGGGCAGCCTGCCGTGGATCACAGAGCTGAAGCCAGTGGGTGTGGGACTGATGTGTTTGGCTCCCACACAACCTCTCTTTCTGCCTCCTAACGTGAACCTTGATGGGTGAGAAGGAATTCGAGGACCAGGGAAGGGAAAAGCAGTGAAAGGTCCTTCCAGACTGGGGCGGGAGAGGGGCAGGTTGGGTGAGGAAGCAGCTGGGAGAGAAGGGGCCTGAGGCTTCCCAGCAGCACATGGGATGGGGGGAAGGCACCAGGTTAGACTGGAGGTGGGGGCAGGGTGGGCAGGGAGCTACTGGTACAACTCATGTGAGGGTCCCCACGGGGTAAGGCAGTGGGGCTGGAAAAGAAAGTGGAGGAGGCAGTCCCTGCCTTTAGGGAGCTTGTACTCCAACTGGACTGACAAAGCAAACAAGAAAAGTGACACTCAGTCGTTAATGTTTCAGAGCCAGAGTGAACCTTATAAATTATCTAACCCAACCAAGAGCCACCCGGGACTGGACACTTAGGATGGGCAGAGTCTTGTTTTCATCACTGCGACACCCCTGGCATCCGGTAGGTGCCCAGTGACGGTCTGCTACGCAGTCATCTTTCATCTTCGCAACTACCCAAGGAGGTAGTGGAGCTGTCGGAGGCCACCTGCTGGAGACCTGGCCATGTGGAACCCACACCGGACTCCTGGAGGAGCTGATGGTAGCAACGACCTTGACTCTGCTGGACTGAGTTAGGCCAGAACGGAAAGCTGGAGCTTGGAAACGTTATTTGATGTAGCACTGACCCAAGTGCAAACAGGAACATCTCGCTTGAACCCGCTGACTTCCTTGGGCCAAGTGGCCTTGAGCCGTCACTTGGACACTCTGGCCCTGCTGTCCTATCTGTAGAGGGTGAGAGGCCTGACCACCTCCTAGGATGTTTGATGATGGTTACGTGAGGCTGGTAAGACCTTCCATGACTGAGGACTGGTCCCCATGTCTTCAGCATGGGGTATCCAGACACCAGGGCAAGAGAGAGAGGGGGGAGTGGTGACAGCCAAGGGGAGGCAGCTGGTTTTCTGGAGAAGAGAAGGGATGGGGGATGACCTAGTAAAAACAGTCTCACAGATGACAAGGCAACCCAAAAGGAAGAGGATGGTTGTTTGGTACTGCCGCTGAATGGCACACCCAGAAGAAAGCGCTCCTCAGCAGTCCGAGTAGACCTGTGCAGTGGGTTATGGAATCACCCAGCTTTAAGTCAGCCCGCAGTCCCCCGCCACCTGCTTGGATGCGCTCCTGCCTCAAAGCAGGATGGACAAGATACCGATCTTCAGGATCTTGCAGTAATGAGGAAGCTCTGAAGCCCTTCAATAGGGGACAGAATTCAAGAAGTGGAGCACTGGTGCCGGTGTGGCTCCAGGCCAGCTGGGTGACCGTGGGGGTGTCACCCGCCTCCATGGACATGGGCTACCCGCGAGCAAAAACACGCCGTTCAGACACAGCCATCTGCACGGTGTTTGCACGTTCTCTGAAAGGCCCGACAAGGGCACTGTAATTTGGGGGGATCAGAGTAACACTCCAAAAAACCACTCACCAACAAAAACAAGACTTTCTGGGGCGGCATGGAGCATGACTTATGATTACACAGGGTCGGTGTATTCACACGTTGAGTGCCTGTCCTGTGTATGGAGACGACAGACTCCATGAGGACAGGGACCAGACTGTCTTCCTTGCATGGGTCTCCCCGGTGCTGCGGGCAGTCTGGGGCACATGGCAGAAGCTCGAAACTTGGTTCAACCTCCTTTTTTGGGACCGAGGAGGGTTGCTAAAGAGTTTTTTTTTCCACCTCAGAGGCATAGCAAGGAGATCAAAAAAGCCAAAACAGCCTTAAATAGCATTCAAACACTCTTCCCATCCCTTCGTTGTTGTTATCTTTGTGGTATTAACACATCAACAAGGTCCCAAGTGTCGGGGTTATAAGTCGGCCTCTGCAGGGAGAAAATGACTCAGTCAAGACCTCTCCCTCCCCAACAAAAAAAGGCTCCCCACTCAAGTCCCGTGTGTGCGTGCGTGTGTGTGCACACAGCTTTGCACTTTCTGTCCAACACGTGGATCCCAAAATAAACTCGTCTCCCTCCCTTCCAAAATAGAGGGCTACTGTGTGACCAGTAATTAAAAATGGAATATACTGCCCTGAGCTCAGTTGACTGCAATAAAGTATTTGGATTTTCCTACAATCATAACAAGACGGGGCAGAGGCAGAGACTCGATTTTTTTTCCCAGAATCCAGAATTTTGTCAAAATCATCGCATAATTTCAAGAAAATGAATTAGAGATGTTTTCTTGTGATTGCTTTAAAAAAAAAAAAGGAGGCAAGAAACTCAACCAGGCTACAGTAATTGTACCCAGATGCTTTCTTTGATTGTTTCTTCAGGACTGCTGTGCTCCCAGTTGCTGCAAGGCGTTTAAATTCCTCCGGAGAGTGGAGGCCCATGGTACAGACTTTGCACTGGGCATGCGCCCACAGACTAGGCGTGCAATTTCAATATGCAAAGGGCTTTCCGCTGTCAGGTAGCAGAGGCTCCTGGGAACTTAAGGGAAGGGAAAAGTATGCAGCTCTTCCCCCCCACCTCCAGCCCATTCTTATCTCTTATCTAGATGGGATGCTGTGGCCCCTGCCCCCTCCCCACACACCAGGGCAAAGCCCCATACAGACAGCACAATAGAAGTGACCTTTGGGACCCCTTTCTGGGTCCCCTTTCAAGACAATGCAACTTAAAAAGTATTTTTTCTAAGGCCCTGCGTTTAAGGCTTTTCTTTTCAAAAGCCCTCTGACAATTTACTCACAAAGTCACTGCCCAAAGGCAATACTCCCTTCCACAAGCATTTTCTAAGGCATGACTGTGGTGGGGGGTGGGGTGCCTCAGTGCAAGGCCTGGCCCACAGATGGCATCAGGCAACGGGGCCTTTTGAAAACAGGCAAACTTTTACAAGTTCATCTTAGCAAACTGCCCTCATCAGAGCTTTCATCCTCTAATTGCGGGCTACTGCTTCCAGCATATCTTTCCTGTGGCATCATTTTCTTTGATAATTGAAGCCAAGCTTGCTTCCAATGGCTCTGCACAAAAACCGGCCTCATCAGCGGGTGCTTTCAGAGCACAAGACGCCCTGGGGGCCAGCAGAGGGCCATCTGCTGGGTCCGGCTTATTTTAGGTGAGGCCCGAGGAGAAGGTCCAACGAGACGGACGAGACCGCCTTGGGCCAGAGCACACGAGGACCTGCACAGAGAGCGTCCTGTGCGCATGACACCGTCTCCTCCTGCCCAAAATAAACGCCGGGCTGAGCTCCGAGTCCCACAGCCCCCTTCGCACGCACCTCGACGCCCGTGTCTGTGTCTGCGTGCTGGGGTTCTGACACGTGCTGCTGCCAACAGGTCACTCTTGCTCTGGGCTATTTATAGTGACCATCAAAAGCCCAGGCATCCCACTCAACCACTCGCAAACCAGAGTCCTTTCCTCTGAGGATAACTCCTGCTCTTCCGTTCCAACTATTTATATTAAACCTGACACCAAATCAGTAAGGACACAAACAAGTCATTAAAAATGAGACTCCTCTGAGTGCCCAGGGTAAACACAGGGCCTGGAAGACCAGCCCGTGCTATTGGCATCCAGCTGCCCAGACTGCTACTCAACAGCTGATGAAAGGGAGACCCTCAGCAGGACTCCTGCTTTCTGTTTCATTCATTTGACTGACTGAGCCCATCCCGCAGGCCAGGTACCTTGAGTGAGGGGACTGGGTTGGGGAGGGGACTGAAAGCGTTAGAAAGGACCCCTACATCCCAGGAACCAGCCGGGAACAGACTTCAGTTCAACAAGAAGAGAAAGTTAAGATGTGGGAGAGGGGGTATACCCTCTAACTTCACAATGGGCTAGAACCCAAGGGGCACTCTTTGAAAGTGATACCTGAACCCAGCTGCCCTTTCCACAGAGCCAATTAATAGCATTGTTAAATTAAACTAATTAGAATGCTTTACATCTGTTCAAAACACTTCTCTTTACAAAGGGCTTTCATGTTTATTATTTTGATCCTAATAGCAGCCTGTGACATAAACAGAAGGGATGGTGCCCACTCACTTTACAGATGCCACACAGGGTTCACAAAGCCTTCAGCCCAGATGGTAAGTAGTGGCTGGAACTCAGGTCTTTGAAAAACTCAGGACAGCTCCTAACACACGATATGTACCCTTGAATATCTTGCATGTTAAAAAAAAATTCAGGTATGTTTTAATTTCTCTCTGACAATGCCCACTGAAGACATGTGCATTCCAGGTAAAATATAGCAATCATTTCAACCCAACAGTGGGAGAAAACACACACAGACACACACACAGACACACACACACACAGACACACACACACACAGACACACACACACACAGAGGAATCTAGTGTGGAAACACAAGAGGCCAACCAAAAGGTGTCATCTTTATATAAACAATGCCCACACAGTTCATAACCAAAAAGGCAAGTTCTGAAACACAAAGGATCCTTGGCCCCAGCATTCAGGATCTCAAAAGCGCCACAAGAGTCATCTCCATAAAGTTTAATCCTAGTAATATCCCAGCTGAGGCCCTTGGAGTGGGGAGGGGCGCTCGAGGGCTGGGTCTCTGTGGCCCACCCACAAAGGGGCGGGGTCACAGCAGGGTCCCGCCCGGGGAGCGCGGTCTTCCTGAAGATCTCCAAAACCACACAAGGCGCTGTTGACAAGGCTGGCACTCTGGGTCCTGACACTGAGGGACACAGAAGCCCCACTGTCAGGAGGCCCCTGGAGAAGCTGCCTTACCACAGGCCTTAAGTAGTCCCAGCCACCGCTGCCAAACTGGAGAGCAAGGAGGCCAGCGGAGGTTTACCCAAATGCTCACATAATGGAACCGGGCAGTGGTGGCAGGTGCTCAGTGCCTGACGACTGCCAGCCACAGAAGCCAGACCCAGTATCTCTCTCGGAAACAACCTGAACCCAGAAGCTTAAAGACGCAGAAACAACTCCTTTCACGTGATCCTTTGCTTCCTTGCAAAAGCCAATCCATTGCCACTTAAGGTGTGGACCAGATGTCTGTGCATGCAGAGACTGGAGCCTAAGGCTGTGAGAGAGCCCCCTGGTGGTTCGAGTACAATCCCTTCCCTCCTTGCCAAGGCCACCCCAAGACCACACTGCTGCTAGGCTCAGACCCTGCTACCCTGTCCCTCCTCCAGCTGCCCGACCCTGGAGGCCCCACCCTACGGAGAGAGGGCAGTCTCCACAGAGACAGCCGCTGGACCGCATCCCTCTGCCCTAACACACGGAGAACTACACAATGGACAGCAAGATAAGCTGCTCAGATAGCAGCCCAGTGCCTGGCCCCCTCCCCCTGCCAGCCATCAGCAGCAACCTAGAATTAAGAGGCCAGTTCTCTTTTTTGGATTTGGGAGAGCAGAGAGAGAAACAGAAAAACTCATTCTAACAGGAGGTCTGAAGTCGCCGCCAAAGGTCAAGAACCTTAAGACTTGGCTATTCTATAAAGGGCTGTTTGTCTTTGAAGCCTCAGAGAGAAGGTACTCCAAAGGCCCCAGTCCTCCCTGGCCAAGACCCTTTCTCCATCGGCACTAAAGCAACAAAATAATCAACTGGGGTCTGACCCTTGGGCTGCAAACATTAAAAACCCAGCTTAATATATCAGCAGACTCCATGGCTAAGGGGTCTTCATTGGGGAAAGTCACAGGGCCTTCCCTCACTAGGAGGGTTTCCTGTTGGGTCAGTATCTCATTCTACAAAGAGAACCACAAACTCAGTTCTTAAGCCAACTGCTGGCTCTTATGAACATAAAAGTTCAAAAGATCCCACTTACCCCCACGTTCAATGGGTGCACACGTTATTTCCTGTGCCTCCACCACAACCCAGCAGCCTCCCTGCCCACATAAGTTCTACTCTCTACTGATTAGTGGTGAATGACCCCTTCCAAAACTGGTGCTCAGTGTATCTGGTGACTCAGCAGCATCAAAAACTGCTGTCCTCTCCCTCCCTTCTCTCCTCTCTTCTTCTCTTGTCTCTCTCAACCCCTTCTAAGACTGGCCCAGGATAATAAGTAACCCGCATTAATGAATACTGCCTGCCACTGTTTGAAGTCAGCACTGGAAGACTATAGGCATTTAGCTGTGTGTGCATCACTCTCCCTCCCCTTTAAACAACGAAAAGCAAGATCAAAGGGTTCCTGACCAGCGGTTCTAGCTCAAGACAGAACTTTATCAGCTTCAGCAGCGCATTCATCCATCCATCCTACTTAACTCAAAACATCTGCAACGTCCATCTCATCCTCCTAGTCCCCCACCCCACTTCCACCCCCTGCCAAGGTTTTACCTGTATGTATTTTCAACAGTTTCTGTGGACCTCACATTTGCTGTAGCCCTCAGAGTTTTGCTGGACAAGCCAACCACAGTGGGTGACAGTTTGCACTTGAAGTCAGCACAAGTCCACTCCTCTTCTTCATTCAAGGTGGGGAGATAGCCACACACGAGCTTCAAGCTCCCCAGTCCCCCGTTACTCATGTAAGCTGTGTTTTCTCCCCCACTCCTCACATATTCGAGGTATATATCAGAAGTCAAAAACATCTGGTAGGCATTGTCCTCCATCACCGCCTGGATCTCAGTCTGTGCTTGGTCGAACATGATCGAATCAATCTGCTGCTTCTTGATGCCATCTCTTATGTAGGTCTTGGTGGCTGGTTTCAGCTGCTTGGAGACAATGCTGTTGTTCTCGATGTACCTTTTGTAGATCGCTTTGGCTACTCGTAAAGTTTTGGTATCCTTCAGGCTCATCTGCCTGAACCCATTGCAGGCAAACCAGAAGTCTAAGGTATCCACGCATTTCTCCCTCTCCAGGAAAGTCCGGAAAAGATAAGCACCATCCTGATCACCCAACAAGGAGTGCAGTGACTTGGTCCACCTGGTCAGAGGGGAATCCGGAGATGCCCGCCCCTCGGGCTCCCCCAACCCATCCTCATTCCGCCTGGTGTTGGAGGAGACAGGCATGGGTTTGGTGACCTGGCCCTTTCCCACTCCGGGCTGGCACGGTGGGGTCTCCCCTTCTTCCCCTGGAACCGGGGGCCGCGGAGCATCCTCCCGGAAGCTGCTGCTGGGGTCTGGGAGGCGAGGCACCAACACAGCACTACTCATGGCTTGTGAGTTCTTCTCAATGAGTTTAGGAAATTTTTTCCTTCTTCCAGTTCCTCTCAGCAATCAGCGTGGTCTCTCTCTCTCTCAAGTCAGCAGGGACTCATCTGAGCCTCCTTTCTGGGAAGAAAAGGAAGAGGGGAGGCAGAGGGAGAGAAAAGGGTACTGATATAATCAAAACCAGATCTACCCAACATCAAAGCAAGAAAGTAAACAGGCTTTTCAACTCCTCAAATTCAAATCAAGCAACCCAGCTATCTGCGAGGTGCTCATCTAAAGTATCAGACGCTGCTTTTTCAAAGGCGAAATCTGAGCTCCCTGCACACTTGGGGAGGGGGGCGGGAAGGGGCGGAGAAGGTGAGCGGGGAGGGTGGGAGGTGGGGCGGAGTGGCTTGGGAGGTGTAAGACACCACCTTCCAAAAACCCACCCGGCCCCGGCGCACGCAGGACAGCCAGGCCCGCGCCTCCCCGCTCCCCCCTCCTTCCCTCCCCAATCCTTCCCTCCCCACTCCCGGATAGCATCAACTCAGAGACGCGCACCCGGAGCCGCTGGGCTGTGTGCAGGTGAAACCAATTTCGGTAAATTTCCCCACTCGGCTCTCCACACAGATAACTCGAGCTCCAAACGTGCCCTTCCCCGGCATCTGGTTCCCATTCCTCCTACCCACCCCTTCCCTCTGCACTCCCCCTTCCCACTCCTTAAAAATTCAGAAGATTCTCCACCAAAAAGAAGCCCGCCCAGCACAGGGCGGAATGGGCTCCCAGACTCCCAGCTGGAAACCACCCACCCCCCGACCCTGATGTAAATGTTCGCTGCGCCCCCGCCTCCCTCCAAGAATCCGACTCAGTCTACACTTCTGTCTTCCTGGCTCCCCCAAACCAGAAATCAACTCACTCAGACAAGACTTTGATCTTCAAACTTTCCGAGAGAGCAGAGAGGCCTCAGGACCCCCGCCCCCGTGCCCCCCGCCCCCAACCTACCGGAGTCGCAAACCCTACAAAACCGGGTCTCACGCTACCACTGCCAGTGCCAAGAATCCCAAACTCTACTGACCACAAGCCTGTATCTTTTTTCCCCCAAAGAAGAAAGTCTTATCTAACCAATAAACAAGCTGCTCTCCTTAGCAAGGGAAGGATCAAACTAAGGAGAGGGCAGGGGCGGGCCGGGAGATGGGGCACGACCCTGAACCAGAGACTGGGGATCCCGGGCTCGGGGTGGGTGTGCGTGGCCCCGCAGGCTGCCGGGCTGGACAACTCCGCCGGCAGCGGCGCGTTACCCGGGCGGAGGGGAGGTGGGGCAGCCCCGTTACCTGGAAGACGAAGGCGGCCCGAGGCCCGGCTCTCATCTCCGCCGAGCCCCCCTGGCCTGCCCACCCCCGGCCCAAATCCAACCCAATACGTCCAGAGCCCTGGCGAGCGGGCCGCAGAGCGCGGGGCCAGAGCCCCGGAAGGCGCGCTCAACACCCCGAGCCCGGGCGCGGGTCGGTCCCCGGCGCCGCCACTCGCGGAGGCGCCCGCAGAAAAAGCACGGAAAGCAGTAGCCTAGTCTAGAAATGGCGACGCGCAGAGTCTCTGTCTCTCCGCAAAAGGGGCCGGGGCGGCCGGGGGCGCGGGGCCCGGGCGAGAGGACGGACGCGGGGGACGCGGGGGACGCGGGCGCCCCAGGCTCCGGCCGCTCCAGCGCGCAGACTGAGCCTCGGCCAGCGCTCGGGGCCCCTAAGCGCGGACCAGTGGCTGGGAGGGGAGGAGGGGAGGAGAGAGAGTAGGGAGGGGAGGATGAGGCGGGGGGAGAAGTGGGGGAGAGGGGGCGGAGGGGAGGGCAAACGGGGGGCGCCACCACCCTTTCATCCCATCTTCCAAAGGCACTCCGGCGCACACTCACACCCCGACTCACATCCATAACAACCAAAGATGGGACCCCCGGGGGGGATCTGCCCCCTCTCCGCCCCCGCAGCAGCCTCCACTTGCTTAAGTCTCTCAGCCTGGGCCCCCGCCACCCGGGCCACCACGCTGGGGAGGGGGCTTGGGCGCGCCAGGCGGCCGGGCCAAGCCCCCCGGAGCGCTGGGCGCCGGGCCCGCCGCTCCTCTCTGCGCCCGCCCGGAGCGCGCCCCGAAATAGCCAGCCTGCCAACTTCAAAGGGCCGCCCGGCACATCAAAGCGCGCGGGCCGCCCCGCAGCCGCGGCCTCGGCACTCACCATTGATCCGCGCGCGCGCTCCGCAGTGAGACCTCGCAGGCGCCCCGGGCAGGGCCCCGGCCCCGGCCCCCGGATCGGCTCGCAGCGGCAGCCCCGGGCCCCCCCGGGCCGGTCCCGGCGTCGGGGAACATGGGGAGTCGTGCGGCAGGGGAGGGAGTGCGGGGAAACAACAATCCCGGGATTAGAGGGAGATCCACCAGCGAGGGAGGGGGAAGCGGCGCGCCCCGCCGCCCCTTTTATGCAAAAGATCCGAGTGGGCCTCCGCCCCCGCCGCGGCCGCCCCCGGCCCCTCTGGCCCCCGCCCGGCCCGGCTTTCAACACAGGTCCTGTTTCCAGCAGTCACTCCGCGCACCAAATGTCCTCCGGGCGCTTCCAACAAAAACTGCGCTGTGGATTTAACTGTGCACTTCAAAGGCGCGAGCCGAGCGCACGGTCCTGAAAGGGAGGTACGCGCCGGCCGCGCCCCGGGCCGTCCCCCGTGCCCCCGCCGCCCCTCCTCGGGGCCGTCCGGCTCGCAGCCCCCCTCCTAGCCGGGTCTCGGCCGGGCCGGACCCCCTCCCGCCCCCGGCGCCCGCGACGTGGCTGGGCGCGACCTCGCCCCCGGTCCGAGGGGGGCTTTCTTTGAAGCGGCTCTGCTGGGGCCGCGCCTCCACCCCCACCTTTTACAGCAAAGCTTTCGGCGGGGAAGACGGGCGCCTCGGACGCCGGGCGGCCCCGAAATCCATTGCTATGAGGGGTTATTTTTATTTCCCGGCACTCGGGTTGTTACTGAGTTGCCAGGACCTTATCAAAGCGCAGCCGGCTCCAGCCGACTCCCCCCGACCGGGCTTGGGGAGCCAGTGATCCCGCCGCGCCAATCACAGCCGCGCTCGGCCGGCCCGCGCCGCCCGCCTTAAAGGGACAGCTCCCCGCGCCCGCCCCGGCCCGGCCAGGCCCGCCCCCGCCGCACGCTCAGCTCCCGCGTTAACCCTTCCCCGGCCCTCCTCCGCCCCCTGCCAGGCCCCCGCGGCCACCCGGGCGCTCTCAGCCAGAGTTCTGATTGCGTCTTTCAAGTTCCCTGGCCTTTTTGCTCTGGCTTCCTCCCCCGGCCTGCCCTGTCCTCTCCAGCTCTGGAAAGCAACAGTTTATTGTAGCATTCTGGCCATCACGAGAACTGCAAGCAGGCAGACTTTTTTCCCCCTATCATCAAACGCTTTTCTACTTCTATTCAAGTTTTCCTGGGAATCTGGACTTGAGGGCTCTTGTAAAAGGATACTAGTCCTGGGATGGGTTCGCCAAGTGTCATAGGACGAACGCGGACCTGGACGCAGAAGGCATGTGCCTGCTTGTGCGCTCCTGTATCTGAGTGTGAGTTAGGACCCAGGTGCGTGCATTTGTGGATGTGTGAAGAAGGAGGTGTGAATCTGTCCGCATAGGCCTGAGTGCTGGAGATGGGCCCTGACACCTCGTCAGGAAGCGTGGCCCTGAAGATTTAACCCCAAATTCCCAGCCTGGCCATCAGGACCCTCCTAGCACACATATGGACCGTCTTCTGCTTTCAACTGCATACCCAACAGTCTCTTGGAAGCATCCCCCATTCCCCATATGTTACATATTAAACAGACATGGAATATCTTTTTCCCCTCCATCAACTCTCTGTTTTAACGTATTGAACCCCTCACCCCACTGTCACCATCGAATCCCTCCCGATGTTCCCTCAATAATGTTTAAGAGGTACAACCTTCTCACTTAAAATAAGAAAATACGCCACGAACCCAGAGCATTTACTCCTCTACTGCTTTAGAAAGCTCTCTCATATGATGAGCTAAAACTTGGCCTTTCCTCCTCTTAAAAAACATAAAGCTGTAGACCAAAGTTGTTCAAGAGGTGAGGGGAAGAGCCTAGCATCCTCAGAGCAGTGGGAGGCTTTGGCTCTCCAACTCTACTCACTTTTCCTTTATTTACTTTTTGATTGAACTGAATGAATGGCAAACCCACTTAAATGCAGAGGTGCCTCTAACCTGTCATTAGGCCTTCAGAACTTTAAAACATGCAAGAAAGGTGTTTCTCTTTCTCTTTAGGTTTCTACAGGAAAAGAGGAAGAAGATGGGGAAGGGCAAGCAGCAGGAAAGGTGCTCTCGGGCTGGGACAAGGGACCAGAACTCCTGCAAAGCCATGCTCCAGACTTTCCAGCTTCCGGACACTGTGGCAGGTGGCATCTCCCTCCCCAAGACCTGCCTCTCTGTGTCCGTGGTCAGCCCCTCCGGGCTCACTTTCCGAGGTAGCCAGGTGGCATAAAGCCAGCGGCCACGCTGTGAAACGTGGCTACCTTGGGACAAACCAGGAAGGCCAGTGAAAGACTGGCCAGATGACATCTCTGCCTTGGGACAACAGCTGGGTTCAAGGACACTGGAAGCCAGTCCACTTTAGATGGGCTCCATCTAACAGCTTGGCCTTTCAGAATACTGATACACGGGTGAGACCCATGGCCCAAGGGCACAGCCACTACCTTCAGGACCCCAAGAGAGCCAGAAGCAAAGCTGTCCCCATGGTTCCAAGGAGGGTGGTTGAGGCCACAGAGGGTGTTATCATAGGAACAAAAGTGTATACAGAGGGGGATGAATTGCCACAGAAGCGTCTACCATATAAACTACAGCAACGTGTATGTATGTGCCTGTGTGCGTGCGCACACACGCTGTTGGGGAGGGGAGATAGAAAAATCAAAACATCCAAAATCAAAATAAACAATGATCAGAAAGAGGAGACTTTAAAAAAGGAAGTGGAAACTTGGTCTTCATGGGTGGTTTTCCTCCCCTCCCAGCCGTCCCCACCGACCCTTCATGCCCCTCAGCCCGCCCT